TTTTTAGAATGCTCTACCAGCAACTTCTGTTTACATCTCATTGGCAAGAATTGTATCATATGGCTATTCCTAACCACCATCCCTAGCTTCAAAGGCAGTGAGGATATATAATATTTGCTGGATTCTAAACTGCCCCCTCGAAAAAAACGTTTAGCTGCAATCTAAATCTATAAAATGATGACACATATAAGTAAAACTGAACTTTTGTGTAAAAAATAGTTAGGAATATTAAGTATTTTTTAAAAATGTGTACGGATTTTGGTTTCGAATACTGTGGCAGCTTCAAAAACTTATTTTTCTTTACTAAAAAGCAATATACATTAGTTAGTATAAACTTCAAAAATCTAGATGAGCAAAAAAGAAAAAATCTTCTGAAATCCCATCAACCATAGGTAACATCTATCAGTGTTTTGGTAAATGACCTACTCAGTTTTTTTCTCTGCTTACATGTATTGTGTGTGTGTTAATATATTTTATTTTTATAAATTAGCATTATATTATATACCCTATTTTGTAACTTGTTTCTTTTACTAAGTATCATGTACATATTTTCATGTTAAAGTATGCAATGAGGTAGTGTTTTACGGTTTAGAAATTACAATTTCCTTAATTTAACTCATAATGCCTTTTAGTTTTAGTGTTCCACCTTAGTAGTATATGTCTTATGTTTACCTGTTCTGTCCCTACTCTTTTCGTGACCAAGTTAATACACAATTATGTTTGTTGTTGACTGATACCAAAGGAACATTCTGTTTGTCAATGGGAGTAATGAACATATTAGGTAGGCTCTGACTCAATGATAATGATTCCTGGAGGAATCTCATTAAATTTTTTTTCCCTAGCCCTGGCTTGTTTTTTTAGCTCTGAATAAAATTGTTGTACTTTTTTTCTACTCTATTTTAATGTTTTTTTATAGTTTTAGAAATAGAGTAGATCCTAAACTTTTTCCTGAGAGACAATTGGGAGTACCTTTTTAGCATAGTTCCTACCATAAAATGCATACATGTTAAAATAGTAAAATTGCCTTGAGATGCAAATTCTGATGCAGTTGGCTAGATTCCCTCACTAGCCAGGTGAAACACACGTGCTGGCTTGGCAGCAAACATGATTCAAAATTCTATTTGAGTAATACTACAAATTACTAGGTATCATAGATCTTCAATATCACTCTTGAATACTAGTAACCAAAAAACCAAACCAGTTACCATCGAGTCGATTCCTGTAGGAATCTTAGCAACCTTATAGGGCAGAGTAGAACTGCCCCATAGAGTTTCCGAGGAGTGCCTGGTGGATTTGAACTGCCGGCTTTTTGGTTAGCAGCCGAGCTCTTAACCACTGTGCTGCCAGGTTCTGTTCTAGACCACCACTTTTAAAGTGAGTATCACAGTAAAGTGAGTCACATGAATTTTTGGGTTTCCCAGTGCATATAAAAGTTATGTTTACATTATACTGTAGTCTATTTAATGTGCAGTAGCATTATGTCTAAAAAAACAATGTACATACCTTAATTAAAAATATTTTATTGTTGAAAAGTGCTAACTATCGTCTGAGCCTTCACCAAGTCATAATCTTTTTGCTGGTGGATGACTTGCCTCAGTGTTGATGGCTACTGACTAATCAGGGTGTGGTGGTTGTTGAATGTTGAGGTGGCTGTGACAATTTCTTAAAATAAGACAAAAATGAAGTTTACTGCATCGATTTACTTTTCCTTTCACGAAAGATTTCTCTGTAGCACGTGGTGCTGTTTGATAGCATTTTGCTTACAGTAGAACGTCTCTCAAAATTGAAGTCAGTCCTCTCAAACCCTTTATCTGCTGCTTTATCAACTAAGTTTATGTAGTATTCTGAATCCTTTGTTGCCATTTTAATAGTGTTCACAGCATCTTCACCAGGAGTAGATCCCGTCTCAAGAAACCAATTCCTTTCCTCATCCATAAGAAGCAACTCTTCATCCGTTAAGGTTTCATCATGAGATTGCAGCAATTCAGTCACATCTTCAGGCTCTACTTCTGATTATAAGTTGTCTTGCTATTTCTCCACATTTGTAGCTACTTCCTCCACTAAAGTCTTGAATCCCTCAAAGTCATCCATGAGGGTCGGGATCAATTTCTTCCAAACTCCTGTTAATGTTGATATTTTGACCTCCTCCCGTGAATCACAAATGTTCTTAATGGCATCTAGAATGGTGAATCCTTTCCAGAAGGTTTTCAATTTACTTTGCCCAGATCCATCAGAGGAATCACTGTCTTTGGCAGTTATAGCCTTATGAAGTATATTTCTTAAATAATAAGACTTGAAAGTTGAAATTACTCCTTGATCCGTTGACTGCAGAGTGGATGTTGTGTTAGCGGGCATGAAAACAACACTAATCTCCTTGTACATCTCCATGAGAGCTATTGGGTGACCAGGTATATTGTCGGTGAGCAGTAATATTTTGAAAGGAATCTTTTCTCTGAGCAGTAGGTCTCAACAGTTGGCTTAAAATATTCAGTAAACCAGGTTGTAAACAGATGTGCTGTCATCCAGGCTTTGTTGTTGCATTTATAGAGCACAGGTGAGTAGATTTAGCATAATTCTTAAGGGCCCTAGACTTTTTGGAATGGTAAATGAGTATTGGCTTCAACTTTAAGTCACCAGCTACATTAGCCCCCAACGAGAGAGTCAACCTGCCCATTGAAGCTTTGAAGCCAGGCATTGACTTCTCTCTAGCTGTGAAAGTCCTAGATGGCATCTTCTTCCAGTATAAGGCTGTTACATTTCCATTGAAAATCTGTTGTTTAGTGTAGGCACTTTCAGCAATTATCTTAGCTAGACCTTCTGTATAATTTGCTGCAGCTTCTATATCAGCGCTTGCTGCCTCTCCTTGTACTTTCATGTTATAGAGATGGCTTCTTTCCTTAAACCTCCTGAACCAACCTCTGCTAGCTTCAGACTCTTTTCCTGCAACTTCCTTCCCTCTCTCAGCCTTCATAGAATTGAGAGTTAGGGCCTTCCTCTGGATTAGGCTTTGACTTAAGGGAATGTTGTGGCTGGTTTAATCTTCAATCCAGACCGCTAAAACTTTCTCCATAGCAGCAGTGAGACTGTTTCGCTTTCTTATTCATGTGTTCACTGGAATAACACTTTTAATTTCCTTTAAGAACTTTTCCTTTGCATTCACAACTTGGCTGACTGGTGCAACAGATACAACTTTTGGCCTGTCTTGGTTTTTGACATACCTTTCTCACTAAGCTTAAGCATTTCTAACTTTTGATTTAAAGTGAGATATGTGTGACTCTTCCTTTCGCTTGAATACTTAGAGGCTATTGTTGGGTTATTAATCGGCCTAATTTCAATATTATGTTGTCTCGGAATAAGAAGGCCTGAGGATAGCTGGTTGGTGGAGCAATCAGAACACACACAACATTTATTGAATAAGTTTACCATCTTATATGGGCATGGTTCATGGTGCGCCAAAACAATTACAATAGTCATAGCAAAGATTACTGATTACAAATCCCCATAACAGATATAATAATGAAAAAGTTTGAAATATTGCAAGAATTACCAAAATGTGACACAGAGACATGAAGTGGGCACGTGCTGTTGGAAAAATGGTGCCAATAGACTTGCTTGATGCAGGGTTTCCACAAACCTTCAATTTGTAAAAAAGCAATATATACAAAGTGCAATAAAACGAGGTGTGCCTGTATTAAATACAGGAATAACATAAGACCTGTTTTATAAATTATGATTTTGTAAATCTCTGTCCCTAAATTTTTAGTGGCAGATTTGCTTAATTTAGTTTCAGCTCCACCTTATCGCTAATTATACTACCACTGACGCCATTGTTGCTTTTAGAGCTTAGCTTTCTCTTGCAGAAGTTTGTGTCAAGATCCGTCAGTATTTGTTGCTCATTACTTACTATCTTTCTGCTCCTGAGGTGTGTAGCTAGTTAGTGGACCTCAGATTCACTCCAGTATAACAAATCTCCATAAAGTAGTGAGGCTGATTGAGGTTAGGTTTCTGTGAAAGAATGTCTGAGAAAGGTTGTTTCAAAGAGGAACAGTGACTAGATAATGAATTTTCCTACTGCTGTCTGATGAAATCATGCATGTTATCAGCCCCTAGATATCACACCCCTGAAATCTCTACTAGGCACTGTGGGAATTTGTCTTGTCAGCTGGGTGGAGGTAATCCACACTGATTCTTAAGCAGTTTAGAATTGCTCATCACCAGTAACCGGGTAGAAGTATCAGGCTTTGAGTTATATTGTTCCTAAGCCTTTGTGTCTTGAGAAGTTGATAATTAGAATTCCTTTAAAAATGTACTACTGAATTTTTAAAAATTCATTCATTATTGGCTATTTAAGAAAATACTTCTTTACTTTTAGTATCTTATCTTTTTCATTAGTGCTCTTGGGCATATATTGTTATCTTTTATTTATTGTCTTCTCAACTAGACTGTAAGCTTCTTGGAAGCAATAACTGTGTTACACACCTGTAGATTCCTACCCACCCCTACAAGTGCCTCCTAAAACATAATAAATCTGTGTTTTGTAAAATTAAGTATTGACAAGTTGGAGTCTTACTGGCTTTTTAACTTAGTTTTGTTGTTTTAGAATTGTGTGCTTTATCTTCTAATGATACTACCGCTGTTGTTTTTGCTGGTTTATCTTTTTTGGAAAAGGCATTCTGTATTTTATAATTTGATTTATTTTAAATTTTCCTAACACATAAGTGTTATCTTTCTTTTTAATCCATGATAATCAAGACATAAATATTTGTTGAACTGGGCATGACATTCTTAGATTTAATACCGTGTTTGATATAAGCATTTGACTACTTCTTTCAGCGTTTGATCTGTGTTGTTGGTTATTAGTCATTTAGCAAATATTTAGTGTGGGCAAAGCCATGTGCTAGGGTTCAGTAGATAACTAAATATTATGGCTACCGTTTGAAAAGAATTAATATTTTGTCAGTAAAATAGACTGCTCAGTTTATAATTTTTTGTCATTATAGGGTAAAGTTCACCTTGAATTAAAACTGAATGAACTGATAACAGACAATGGAACTGTGTGCCAGCAGCTTGTTGTACAGTAAGCATATTTCTTTTATAAAAATTAACTAGAAATATCCTCCATTTTGTATTTTTGAATCTTGAACTCCTTATCTTAAATATTTCAGAAACTGTTCTTTGTTTTCTCCAGAAATTAACATCTGTTATGCTGTTCCTTTATTTAGTTGATTTCTAGTTTGTTTTTCTTGTATCTAGTCTACTCAGGGTATTGTGAGTCACTAATTCATTCAACCAGTATTTCTTGAATTTGGATTAAATGATAGATATAGACAATTGAGAATGTATTTATTATAGGATCACAGATAAGGGTGCCTAATTGCCTGTCAGGGGAGATTAGGAAAGGTTCCTCAGGAAGGTACTCTAGAAACTCCACCACAAAGCAGGGCATTATGGACCTGAGGCTAGAACTGAATGCCCATCCTGAGATTATCAGTATTGATTTCTGCCTACCTTGACTTCCTGTTTATATCACCTACCCTCTGGTCAGTTTTTATTATCCAGACTCTAATCTTCTAACTGTTCTGAAAATCTCCTCTTCTAACCCAGTCTACCACCTCTTCTCTCCCACCCAAACCCTTTCTCTTTGTTATCAAAACTACCAGATATCCTTACTTCTGAATGTTTTCTCTACCTTTTCCTTAACTAATATTTGGATACCCCCTGAGGTACTGTTTCTTCTACAGCCTTCTGAAGCAGAGGCTATGTTTTTTCTGTCATACCCACTTACTTTAGGGCCAGGAAGTAGGATGGATACTCTCCTTGCTCTGTTGCTGCTCCAGAGTATATAACGTATTCTCCTATTGTGAAAACCCAGTTCCTTTGTGGCAGTATACTATACTACCCATCTCCGTCCTCTTCCTTCATTCATTGAAAATTGCTGAATCAGGCATTTTTTTCTCCACCCTACCTCCCACCATCATTCTTAGTAATATTTACTTCTACATGGATGGATGACCCAGTCAACATGGTGGTCTCTCAGTTCTTGCCTACCTCATCTTTTCCTCTATTCTACTGAAATGTCATGGGGTGAGAACTTGACATATTAGAAACTTCACCACTTTAAAAATCATGATTTCAAATATCCTACACTCTGAGGACTTCACTCTATTCTTCCAGCTCAATTACTCAAATACTCCTACTGTAATATTTCCTTTTTTAAAAATTTTTTTGTTTTGAAATAACTTCAAGCCTACAGAAAATGTACAAAAATAATACAGAGAACTCTCGCGTGTCCCTTACCCAGATTCACAAACTTTTAACATTTTGACACGTTTACTTCATCTTTCTATGTAAATATTTAATACTGTATATAATATTACTCACTTGTGTTGTTGTTAGTTGCTGTTGAGTTCATTCTGACTCATGGCAACTCCATGTGTTCAGAGTAGAACTGCTCCATAGGGTTTTCAAGGCTGTGACCTTTCTGAAGCAGATGGTCAGGCCTGTTTTCCAAGGTGTCTCTGGGTGGGTTTGAACTGCCAGCCTTTCAGCTAGTAGTCAAGTGCTTAACCACTTGTGCCACCCAGGGTTTACTTGTTTATGTGTAGTTAATTTTTTCTGAACCATTTGAGTGAAGGTTGCGTACATTGTGATTCTTTACCCTTTAATGTGTCAGTGTGTATTTCCTAAGAACAAGGACACTCTTAAATAACCTGAGTCCGAAGGATCCTGGCTGGAAACAGAGAATACCAGAAAGCTGTTTACCTGTGTTTTATTGACGGTGCAGAGGCATTCAACTGCGTGGATCATAACAAGTTATGGATAACATTACAAAGAATGGGAATTCCAGATACTTACTTGTGCTTATGAGGAACCTGTACATAGACCAGGAGGCAGTCGTTCGAACAGAACAAGGGGATACTGTGTGGTTTAAAGTCATCTGTATGCTGAGCAAATAATCCAAGAATCTGGACTATATGAAGAATGTGGCATCAGGATAGGAGGAAGTCTCATTAGCTACCTGTGATATGCAGATGACACAACTTTGCTTGCTGAAAGTGAAGAGGACTTGAACCACTTAACTGATGAAGATCAAAGACTACAGCCTTCAGTATGGATTACACCTCAACATAAAGAAAAGAAAAATCCTCACAACTGGACCAATAAGCAACATCATGATAAACGGAGAAAAGATTGAAGTTGTCAAGGATTTCATTTTACGTGGATCCACAATCAACGCCCGTGGAAGCAGCAGTCAGGAAATCAAAAGATGCATTGCATTGGGCAAATCTTCTGCAAAAGACCTCTTTAATGTGTTAAAAAGCAAATATGTCACTTTAGGGACTTAGGAGCACCTGACCCAGTCCATAGTGTTTTCAGTTGCCTCATGTGCATGTGAAAGCTGGACAATGAATAAGAAAAACCAAAGAAGAATTGAAGCCTTTGAATCATGGTGTTGGTGAAGAATATTGAATAAACTGTGGACTGCCAAAAGAATGAACAAATCTGTCTTGGAAGAAGTACAGCCAGAATACTCCTTAGAAGCAAGGATGACGAGACTTCATCTTCCATACTTTGGTCATGTTATCAGGAGGGATCAGTCCCTGGAGAAGGACATTATGCTTGTTAAAGTAGAGGGTCAGCGAAAAGAAGACCCTCAATGCGATGGATTGACACAGTGGCTGCAGCAGTGGGCTCAAGCATAACAATGATTGTGAGGATGGCTCAAGACCAGGCAGTGTTTCATTCTGTTATACATAGGGTCACTGTGAGTCAGAACTGACTCGGTGGCACCTAACGACAGCAACATTCAAACTTAGGAAATGTAACTTTGCTATAATACTTTTATCTTATCTACAGTTATTATATTCCCATACTTTAATTGACAGTTATTATATTCCAGTTTTATCAACTGTCCCAATAATGTCCTTTATGGCCTTCTTTTTCCCCTCCAGGAATGGGTCCGGTCTAAGATCATATATTGCATTTAGTTGTGTCTGTTTAATTTTCTTTAGTTGGTAATAGTTTTTAGCTTTTCTTTGTCTTTCATGATAACTGACATTTTTGAAGAACTCAGGCCAGTTAGTTTTTCCAATGTTCCTCAGTCTGGGTTTACCTACTAAAAACAGTTCAAGATTTGTTAGCAGTTTTTTGTTTGTTTCCATCTCCCTAGACTGAAAACACATAGCAAAAGTACTTGGCTTAGTTCCCCCTTCACCTCTCTCTCTCCTGCCTTGGTTTGGTTCTAATTTTCATTGGAAATATAATTGGTTGGACTGATTTGTATACATTCAGTTTAAGGTTGTTTTCTCCTACCATTATTGGTTTAATTTAATTTTTTGAATATGTGAACATTTTTTGAATATGTAAAGATTTCAAAAGTCAAAACTATTTGTTTTAGCCATCTAGTGCTGTTCTAACAGAGACACCACAAGTGGATGGATTTAGCAAAGAGGAGTTTATTCTCTCACAGTTCAGTAGGCTACAAGTCCAAATTCAGGGCATCAGCTCCAGGGGAACACTTTCTCCGTTGGCTCTGGAGGAAGGTCCGTGTCATCAATCTTCCTTTGGTCTGGGAGCTTCTCTGTGCAAGAACCTCAGGTCCAAAGGACATGCTCTACTCCTGGTGCTGCTTTCTTGGTGGTATGAGGTTCCTGTGTGTCTCTGCTCCCTTTTCTCTTTTATATCTCAAAAGAGATTGCATTAAGACACTATCTAATCTTGTCAGTCTCATCAGTGTAACCTCATCACAGTGATAGAATTTACAACACATAAGGAGATCACATCAGATTACACAGTCATACAATACTGGGAATCATGACCCAGCCAAGCTGACAGGTATTTTTGGGGGACACAACTCAATCCATGACACTATTCTAAAAGGTATTACTCAGAGATGTGCGTCAATCCTAGCCGCAGACAACCACATTCTCATTGCTGTCCCTATAGTTTTTGCCTTTTCCAAAATATATAAACAGAATCATGTAGTATGTAGCTTTTTGTGTCCTGCTTTTATCACTTAGCATCCTGTTTTTGAGATTCATTCACATTGTTGCATGTATCATTTCTTTTTTAATATATTGTTTTATGTATTTCTTACCTTAACTTGGCAGATACTATTATCCTCATTTTACAAATAACAAAACTGATGCACAGATTGGTTAAATAAACCCTGATTCACACAGGGAGTATTAGAGCCTGGATTCGAACTCAGGCAGTTTGATTCTCTTTTAACTTTTTATTTTGAAATAATTATAGATTCACAGGAAGTTGCAAAGATAGTATAGAGGGGTCCGGTATACCCTTCACCCAGTTTCCCCCAATGGTTACATCTTAATAGCACAATATCAGAACTAGTAAATTGACCTTGGTACAATGTATGTGTTTCTATATCTTTTTATCACATGTGTAGATTTGTATAACCACCATTGCAATCAAGATACAGAACTATTCTACCACCGCAAAGATCTCCCTAGTGCTACCCCTTTATAGTTGCACCGGTTTCCTTCTGCACTACCATCTGTATCCCTAGGCAACCACTAATCTGTCTCCATATCTATAATTGTGTAATTTCAAAATATAAATAGAATCATATGGTATGTGCCTTTTTGAAGATTGACTTTTTTATTCTCTCTCAGATTCATCCAACTTGTTACATGTAGTTTCTTGTAGCTAAAATATCGTTGTGTCACTATTTTAATCCACTCTGCCAATTTCTGTCTTTTAATTGGTGAATTTTATGCCATTTAACTGTTTTAGTATATGTGCATTCAAAGCAAGCACTACTATACCGTTTACTTTTAATATAATTATTGATATGTTAGGCTTAAGTCTGCCATTTAATTTTTTGTTCTGTTTGTTCTCTCTGTGTTTTGGTTTTTGTTTTCTTTTTCCTGACTTCCTATAGGTTACTTGAAAATTTTTTAGAATTTCAGTTTGATTTATCTATAGTGTTTTTCTATTTACAAGCTATCTCTTTGTGTAGCTTTTTTAGTGGTTTCTTAAGTATTACATTATACATATATAACTTATGTAGGGTGCTGGTGTTGACCTTTCACCAGTTAGAATAAAGTATAGAAA